CTGAAGCTGTCCCAATGCTCTGGTTAAAACAGGTAGTCATCTCCAACAGGTGTGCATAAGTCACTTCCCTTATGTGGGAATATCTAACCCCTTCAGATCAGAGTGCAGTGTCTATCACCCTTTTCAGAACATGAAATTCGATTGTTCCAATCGACGTTGAGAGTCGACGGGGCGGTCTAGGACCTAAAATACGATACGTCCCGGTGAAAACAGGACCCTACCTTAGGACAACCACTTGTTTGCTTGCAGTTTGTCTCTTTCAGGATCGCAATCCGCACGAATAACACCTCAAGGATGAGAATCCTACTAATACAAATCCGGGCAACCCCGTTAAACCGTAAGTTTATTTTGGTGTCCCCGACAGTAACGGAGTAACCTGAAGTCCTGATCGAGATGGATGTCATCTCAACAACCACTCTTAGAAATGCAATCGTTATTAATGGCAAGTCACTTGCTTGTCTAACATAGGTTTGCATGGGGACCCCAGGAAAATGCCCAGCCGTTAAGACGGCACAGATCGCCTGCACACACTGCATGACAGTTCTGACAAATAAGCTTATTGACAAGGACCTAAGTTTTCAAAGTGCAAATTATTAATAGCTCGGGTGACAGTGGGGTCCTTGTCCAGCAACCAGTCTATTGCACAAGTTGTTAAAGTAAAGAAAGTAAAGGACCCTTTTCCACGCCTTCAGGCATATAGGGCATATAGGGCTAGACCTATATTTTTATAGACCAATCGGCACAAGATGGGTGATGTGGTCAGCATCACGCCGGCCGCCTTTACTTACCCGGTACCCACTGAAGACTAAGTAGACCTGGGAGCCAAGGTCATTTTTGAAAAAAGTCCGGTTCTGCCAGGGAGCGAACCCACGATCCGCGACGAGCTTCTAGCCGCTCGGCCACGGCGACTTCCAAGTTGGTAAAGACTTGATGTTATTGGCAGTTGTTACACCAAATACAAAATTTGACTTTTGTGTGTGGAGAGCAGCAAGAAATGAGGCGGCGAGAAAAGTTAGTAAGTTACTATTTTTAACTAAGCATCGAAAATTACATTGAAAACGAAACTGGTGCTGGGCATTAGTTTTTTTTAAAGACATTACATTACTAAAAGGAACACACTGGAACCCATAGACTGCATATAATAATAATAATAAAATTTTTTTTTTAATATCAGTGACAGTAGGCATAGGTTTCAAGCCGGTTTCAATAATCAAGTCTTGAAATTCCAGGTAAGGTTTACGTTTATTTTTATCGAGATGTGTTAGATTATCTTCTTCATAGTTTACAATCTCCAGAAACGTCCATAATTATTATCTAAAAAAAAAAAAAAAGTTTAAATGCACACCAATGAACCACTACCCGGTGACACAAAGTGCCACCATGCGGATGAGGATCGGACTTCGGATCACCCGTGGAAACCAAACCCCAAGGTTTTTTCTAATCTACCGTATTAATACATTGACAACACACACATAATACATAGGACGTCTAATTTTTCGTTATTTTGAAGCTCCACTCCAGCTGTTGACTGATGGCTGAGGCCCTTATATAACCCAACCTACGGGTTGAACAGCATTTCTGGGACCCTGTCCCCAGGTGGCACTTTGACTTTGTATTACCCAGTGTTTATCACTTGGTGTGATGTCCTCGTGGGGTGAAACGTCAAGTCACTATTATATATTCGAACGGGAATCAGGTATCTGTAAATCCTAGAATCATAGTCAAGAGTGTGATGGTTGAATCCCTAGGACAGGAAACACTTAAAAAAATAAAATTCCTACCAGGGCGACCCTGACGTTGATGATAGACCCATAACATATATATCATATATCATAGGGATGCTAGTGAAGTTTATTTATATTGGCTTTCTACTTATGAAATTATCACAGCTAGATATAGATTAAAATATCCAGTGTGATATAATATAAACTATAATATAGTGAAACTGACTAGATGGATGCTGAGCCGCGTCCCATTAAAATAAAGGGTTTAAATGACTAAATATTGGCATTTATAGCAATAACAACTTTCTTCCTTAACTCTTTGAGTCCCAGGGGATTTAGAATTGGAGGCCCAAGAGGTGGTAATGCAATTTTTTTTTTAATTTCACAGGTGTAACACACTAAAACATACAATACGAATTCAGCTGTCATGCAACATACACATATTATACATCAAAGTGACTAGAGGTTGTTGGGAAATAATAATAGAATTCAGCTACAACAAATAATTGCGTTAGTAATTAAATATTAGTAAATAAACAGACGGTTTGTTTAAAAAAATTAGTAACATGAAAATTAAAAATTTCTATTTAACACCATGGCACACAAGAAAAACTGGATAAAATATATCCAAAATGAATCACAAGTGAATATGAACCACTTAGTAATGTATAAGTAAATTATAGACTCAATCTAAAATTTGATTTTGTTCCAGAGAATCTTTTGAAGCATCATAACAGAGCACCGTTATTCGGTAGATGAAACTGACCCCCAAAACAATAAGTATCTTCACACAAAACTAAGTTTATATAACACTCAACTTGCCTGTAATTTTGTAGCTATATTTCTAAATAATTAGGGGAATAGTACTAGAACTGACACCGAAGAAAATCTGACTCTTCTTTCAATACAGGCCGGTAGCTGGAAAGCCGCCGATCGGCTTAGTGGGAGTTCTCTCACTTGGCTGCATTGCAAACACGGAGCGGAAAAGTCACGAATCAAATGACATACTTACCTATCATCAAACGGTTGCGTGTACGGTTGCGTAGTCATCATACGGTGGCGTAGGGTTTGGGTTAGGGATAGGGTTAGCGGCGTTAGGGGTTGGGTTAGGGTTAGGGTGTAGGTTAGGGTTAGTTAGGGTTAGGGTAGGGTTAGTTAGGGTTAGGGGTAGGGTTAGATTTGAAAATTTTGACGTAGAAGTTCCAAATAATGGCCGACAATCTGATGCTTGTGAGAGTGGCGCCACTGGAATTCTCCCAAATATGACGGCAGTAGCGCGCGGCTGGTGCCAAATCGGTGGCGAATTGTCTGTTTGAGTAGCATCCACAGTCTTTCGATTGTTTAGGTGTGTATGTGACGGTGCACGATTATATGGAACTCCTGCGTCAAAATTGTCACCTCTAACCCTAACCCTAACCCTACCTCTAACCACGCAAATTTATCGGTCATTAAGGCATACAGATCTGCAGGAGTCACATCCGTGGCAACTAACACCACTGTTATATACGGATATATTTACTAACAAACACACTCAGATTTCCCTGAAGCGTCAAAAAAACACCCAGATCTGGGGGAAACACCCAAGCATTGGCAGCCCTGATGTCGACCTCACTGTCTTCTTTGATTCATGACTTTTCCGCTCCGTGTTTGCAATGCAGCCAAGGGAGAGATTTCCCACTAAGCCGATCGGCGGCTTTCCAGCTACCGGCCTGTATTTTCTATTTGTGCCAGCTGACTTCGCTATAGTTGTTCCTTTTGCGTGAGGTACACATTAGAAGACATATCCTTCATCAAAGTTTGACCCTATAAATGACTGAAACACATCTAATTTGCAAAGTTATCTATCTAACTTTGGATAAATTTAATAAACACATACTTTATTTTAATTTGAGGCTTCTAAAGCCGTAAATCATGTTGGTATGCATGTAGAATATTGCTTGATGGCCACATTGTATTTGAAAAAAACACTTTGTACTCTGTAAACTTCACAAATATGCTAAATTTTAGGCCTGTAAACATGTTTCTAAATAAGTTTCATGGTCCCCACGCCTGATATCAAACACAATGAACTAAAAAGGAAATTGAAATTGAGGAGTTCATGTTTCTTTACTGGTCAGTGGAAAATTAAAAACCTTTACTCGTCACACGCCAATTTTGTTTCTGAGTTGCAACCAGTTAGCATGTGATGCATGAAAATATTGAGTATTATTCATCAGTATAGCATAAAATCATGTATTTGTTTGAAAACATGTTTTCGTATTGTTCGCAGATGAACACACTTTAATTATATACCTTCATCTTTGTACCAGAGTATGCGGGTGTTGTTGGCAATGAAAGAGTCGACAGATTAGCCAGCTTTGCCTTAGTTATAGAGGGCCTGCCCATGGACCATAACAACATTATTGAGGCCATTAGAGTATTAGGAGGGTTGGAGGATTTTGGAAGCAACACTTCAACATCTTTGCTAAGAGGGCAAGAATTGGAAATAAAGGTCGGCACAGCCAGGCACGAGAAGCACACCGGATGGACGAGAAGTCTTGTCAACCAGCATAGGACTGGGACTATCAACCGCAGGACACTTATGTATAGAAGGAGGCCCCCGTGTGGGTTCCATGGCCCCATTGTGGGGAAAACAAGAATAGACTCACTGCCTCCCCAAAAGCATGTCGTAAGAGTCGACTAATTGTGGAGCTTCCTTTGAAGTCGAAGTGTATCTGCCGGAACCAACAGTCTGTATTCATGAGAATGAGATCTGTAAAACTGATGCACACGCAACACTCAGGATCTGGAGCAGGACTACAGTTTAGTAGTGGACGAGCAACCAGAACCTTCCGCCAGAGTTTACAGCTGGTGAACGCGAAGAAGAAGTAGAAGTTGAAGGGGGAATCTGAGCACCTATGGACGTGTTCGGAGTGCTGTGAAGATAACCCAAACCATAAGTCATAACTCATAATTTTAATTATATGCATTAAACAGCTCATATGCAGAAGCAGAGCATAAAAACAAATTTATATATAGTTTGCTCATAGATGTCTTCATCATATTGAAGAAGAAACATTTTGATACACAGTTTTATTATCGGTTACTGTACTTTTTTGTTCAACTTTTATGTAGGCGGGTAATTAGATATATTCTTTAAACCCTATAATTATGTGGAAAGGTATTTAAAAAAGATTTCAAGAGAATATGGAAATTTGTCTTTTTCTTCTGGATAATTCATGTAAACATATTTTCTTGTTGCTGCAGGGAGATCTGTTGTCATGTCTGATGAAGGAGCAGGTGACCAAGTGTGCCATGAGGGAGATCATATACAATATGAACATCCTGAAGGTGGTTTCTTATTGGAGGACGTAGTTTCTGTATCTGGTACAGAGAAACGACTAACAGTAAGGCATGATGGTCTTGCCTTTGAAAGCCAGGTCACTGGTGCAAGCAGTAAAAACAATACAGGTATTATTTTAAGTGATTCTGATCAGTTCATAAGCTTATTTAAAAAATGTCCTGATATAATATCTCTTTTTAAAGATTTATTTTTCATTGTAATTTTTCTGATCAAAATTTTAAATTACATAACCATTTAAGTGGGTCTGACAGGTATATCCATTGTGGCCAATTGCTTTGTCCATGGATATAATGAATATAATAATATCCATCTCTAATATCTATCAGGGAGTCGCCGTGGCAGAGCGGCTAGACGCGCGCCGCGGATCGGAAGGTCGTTGGTTCGCTCCCTGGTGGAGACGGACTTTTCTTCAAAAATGACCTTGGCTCCCAGGTCGACCCAGCCTTGAGTGGGTACCGGGTGCAATCCCGGGAAGTAGAGGCGGCCGGCATGATGCTGACCACATCACCTGTCTTGTGCCGTTGGTCTATAAAAATATAGGTCTAGCCCTATACGCCTAAAGGTGTGGAAAGGGTCCTTTACTTTACTTTTTTTTTTTTTTTTACTAATATCCATCTCAACATTCAGCGGTTGTTATGATGAGTTATCTGCTTGTGACTTTTACTCTTGTGCTTGTTAGAACACAAGAGTGCTCCTTCCACCATCATGTGTGCTGAACACACTATTTACACTGGTTTTTTTTTTAAATTTGTTAACTATTTTTTGTTTAATAACTGATCTTGTTTTTCTTCTTTTCTCTTTCACCTTGTACCTCAGTTAAGTTTCTGGAGTGGGTGGGTGATGTAACATTCGTTGATGAGCTCTGTCAAGATCACTATTGAGACTGATGTTCATTTCTGTAAACCTGTTCTTAATGCCATCACTCCATATTTTTTCGAGGTCTTCCACTTGCTCTGTACCCTTTGTAACATTTTAGTGTGGCTTGCTGTGGCAGATAGTACAAGGGCATTCTTGTTAGGTGTCTCCATTAATTCTGTCACTTGTTCTGCTTTATTTGCCCCATCCACATATATTGATTGTCCCTACCCTGATCTTAACCTTCTGCTAGCCTCTATTTTCCTATTTCTAAAATATTTCCTGTTTTCATCTTAGGCATTTCTTTTTGAACAGTTGAATCCCTCGCCGTTGCCGGGCCTGTCGCGAATTCATCTTCAACTGAACACCTACACTGATCTAACACATTTAACAAACTTTCCAGGAATAAACACATCTTTTAGTATCTTTTAATAACAACTGATCTTAATTGACCCAAAGCAGCAAAAGAAGCTGCAGTTGGATTTGGGCAGATATGACAGTAGATGTGATAAAGACTTAGATTGGTTTTCCTTGTTCATAGAATTTTATATATTGGAACACAAATAGTAAATTCCACAGAGAAAATTAAACAAGACTCTAATTATTAGAAGAATTATTAATGTTAGAAAAGTAATAAAGGAAAAAAAGTTTTATGTTTTCTAAAACCTCTTTTCAAATAATGAATAATACCTTGTGACTCTAGTATAGTCTAAAAAAAAAGAGAAAAAAGCTGCTATGATAAAATACTTGTGACCATAACAGCCATTTAGGTTACTATTTCAAATACTATTCATCATTGCCATATTATTTTAAAATGCAAAAAGCAGCAACATTTTGTACCAAATATATCATTCACAGCATAGGGAGACAAGAAGGCATAGAAATAGGAGGGCGGGTGCTAGGAGAACAAGGCGAAAAGCGGAGAGATTGAGCTTTAATCATGTAAGAGTAGGATACTGGAACTGTCGGAGTGCTAGACACGGAGGTCCTGTACTGGAGAGGTTGATTTTTTATTTTGATGTCATCATGCTCCAGGAGCTAAATACAGACAGATATCATTGCCCTGGGTACGTCAGTTATATAAACCCTGTTGGACAGGAGAGACATGGACAAGGTCTGGTGGTGAAGGAGGGGGTGAAGCATGTAGTGCTTGACTTGAGCCAGTGGAACCACAGTGGACGAGAGGTTCAAGGGATACAGGTGGAAATTGGTGGCTTAAGTTGGAACCTCATAAATATATATGCCACGGTAGACTGTTTTGTCAGAAGTGAACAATGGAGCTGGCTCAAGGAATTGGAGGAGTTACCAGGTGATAGGTTACTCATATGTGGGGATTTCAACGCGAGGAACAGAGAATGGGGCAGCAGTGGAGAAAACCGACAGGGAATTACTCTTGCAGAGGCCATGGTTGACTCCGATATGGTCTGCATCAATGATGGGAGGCCGACTAGAATGGCGAACTGGGTTGCAGCTGTCCTGTATTTGCGTCAGGTTACTTTCCGACTGGGCTCATGGACCTCAGAAGCATGCAGTTAAGCCCCAGGACTGCCACAAGGATCTGCCATCTCGCCTGTGCTCTTTAACATGTATACTAGCAGGATTGCAAGAGTTGGAGCTGGAAGGATACTGACTTTTGCAGATGAAATACTTGTATGTAAGCAGGGGGAAGAGAGGGAACAAACAGCTCGGGAGCTACAAGCGGCAGTAGACAAAGTGACTGAGTGGTGTACAGAAATGAGGGCTGTCGTCCACCCGGAAGAGGCGTCTGTTTGGTGATGTTCTGTAGATAACAGGATCATTAGAGCTGATGTCCCAAGTCTCATGATAGATGCAACAGAGAGAGCAAACAAGTATCTGGGAATCACATTTAACAGGAGCCTGTCTTTTAAGGACCATGTGGAGAGTGTTGTGACAAGATGCTAAAAAGGACTCAATGCACTTAAGACTATGTCTGCAATTGAAATAGAGCAGAGAATGCTTTTCACACTATATCAGCACCTGATCAGTGGTGGATTATGGCCTGGGACTGCGTCTCAAAGAGTCAGATGGACAGACTAGAGCGCATACAGAATGCAGCTAAGCGGGTCATTCTGAGTTGCACCAAAGACACCCCAGTGGTGTGTATGCAATACATCCTTGGTTTGCTGATGGTTGCAGGTAGGCACAACTCAGGGGAAGTCATATCTCAAGGTAGTTGCAGACACAGATCACCCTTTGCACAAAGCTCTGGGCGCAGTTGAGGGTCAGCAGCTGATAAGAGGGAAGTCATGGATGGCGCAGGCAGAAGACAAAATAATCAGACAGGTTTGCATCCTTGAGGACATTAGGCGAGGAGAAGATGCCAGCTGAACAGTCAGATTTGTGTAAAGTCATAATCACATTGAGCTGGGAATGTAGAGACTGGCCAGCAGGTGCCACGGAGGTGGAAATTCAGCAATTAATTCAAGACAATGCTCACTCAGAGGATAGGTTTATTTATACTCTGGGCTGGCTGTTAAAGATGGGCACGGAGTGGTTATGGGAATGCCCTGAGTGCAGTGATGTCAGTTCTTGAATCAGTTCAACTCAACTCATGTTTTCCTCTATGGTTTTAATCTGCTTAGCAGTACCACTTATATAATATCTTTTAGCTTATAGATAATATTGATTTTCCTCTATAATTTTTACATTTGTACTTGTTTCTTTTCTTTAAAAATGTGTATCAGTAATGACTCTTTCTGCTCATCAGGTAATAATTTCTCTTTACCGCAAACATGTTTTGTTAATTTGTAAATATTTAAATGAAATGAATGGCCACTTTCTATTACAAGTTCAGCAGCAGTTTTACCAGCACCAGTTGCCTTATTGTTTTCACGTGCTAGTATTACTGTAATATCTGTATTTGCTGATAAACTGATTAAAGGTAAGTTTGCATTTCACTTGTTTTTCAGACCTCTGTTTAATTTGGCAAGATGTGATCTGTGCAGTTAAAGATGCTCAGTCTAAAAGTGGCAAGCAACTGGATTCATTCACAGTCCATTACATTCATCACAAAGGCAGCAATAAATTAAAAGTTCAGCATGTACAAGTCACTACCAGAGAAGGTGAAGTAGACAAATGGATCCATGCTATTAACATGAAATGCCAAAAGGGTACGTTTGTGATTTTATTTCAACGTTTTCTTTTTGCATTAGATTATTAAGGAAGGAAGAATTGTACTTTTTCTTGATCTATGCATGCAAGGTTTTTTGCATAATTATAGTCTATCATTTTCTGTGTTAGCTTTCTCAGTGTAAAGATGACACATCAGTACACCTTTTGTTTCTTCTGAAACCCATTTGTGAATAACTGAGCTGAAGTTATCTGTTGGTTAGAAATTGCATGGTGACTCTCTTGATTACCCATTTCTTGATACTTTTGTTTAGGCTGGCTGCCACTGTGATCTTATGTGGTGAAATTCAGTTATAGGCTGCTGACTACTTTGATTGGGAATCTCAGTGGACATTGAAATTCCACCAAAAATCATTACTCAATAAAGGTACAATAAAAAAAGAAATGAAATGTGAGTTTTCATGGGGTAAAACTGACATAAGAATGAAGTAAGAATAGATGTTCAACAGAGATGCCATTTGTCACTATAATTGTCCTTGTCTATAGACATGGTCATAAGCCTGTTGAATTAGACTTTAGCAAGGACATTGCCATCCTGCAGCATGAATAATTAGATGCATGATGAATTAGTTGCATTTTATTAGGGTTCATAATAATTAGGTTTAGAAAAGTCTTGTGAGAAAAAAATATAATAAAAATAAACTGAACAAATGATAACCTAATTTTCTCTTGATAATATCTCACTTGGAGTGGCGGAATCTGAGAAACATTAAAGATTAATGGAATTTAAAACATTCCTTAAACTGATTTCTTTTATTTAAACCCTTTCGCTTCATAAAAAGTATTAAATCTGACCTTGTTCAAATTTTGTGTAAAATAAAAACCACATCCTTTTATTTTCAGAAACTCTACCCCAAGAAACTAGGGGAAAGGAGGAAAAAAGCAGAAGAAATTTGGAGTCTTAATGAATGTTTATAAAGGTCCAGAGGATTGAACCCCTAGACTACCACAGAGATAGGTGAACTGAATGCTGTCAAGTCGCTAAAAATAATTTTTTTCTTTCAGTCATCACAAATACCAGAAAATAATTTATTTTTTTTAACTTGAAAGGAAGTAATCACTAAATACGAAAAAAAAAGGCAGAGAATTAACTGCTTTCCTCCCCTTTAAGTATAATAAATGCAGCTTTGTTGACTTAGCCATATTCAACAAAGTGAAATACTTCACAATTTTCAAAACGTTTTTTCATTTCAAATAATATTTCAGATTGGGGGGAGGTGAAGAGATATGTAGTCATTAAGCAAAGCTGTTGTATAGGCGTAGTGGCCACTGTCCAAAGACTTAATTTTATCCGCAAAAACTTGTAAATGTAAAAACGGTTTTCTCTAGGCGACATGGTTAAACTTGTCTCTTTCTTACAATATTTATATACTGCGGAACCTCGCCTAACGAGCATAATTCGTTCTAGAATCATACTCATTAAGCGAAACACTCGTTATGCGAAACAGTTTTTCTCATATAAATTAATGTAAAATACGATAATGTGCTCCATGTTGAAAAAATACTCACAAAAAATATGCTATGTATAACGAATTTTTCATTTGAAAAAAAAGCGAAATAATTTTCATCTTTTCTTCAAACAACGAACACCTGGAATGCGAATTCGATTAGCAGAAAAAAAAGTTAATTATGATACATAGCTAATTATTTTTTTTACTAGAAAGATGTCCAGAGACATTGTTTTTGCCGACGCTTCGCCAGAAAAATGCTACACATCATTATCATTAAATAAATTTGCAACGGTTAGCCACTTTCTTATTAGGGTTATGCTTCTCAATGTAAGATGCCAGTCCATGCTTTCAGCATTTCTCTTATTTCGCCAGAAGATTGTTGCTTTTCTGTTACCTCCACAAACTTTCCCCAAAACTTCTTGCTGTGAAACAAATGCAACTCCATAAGCTCTTGGGTGGTCAGCTCTTGGCTGTGTTCTTCCACAATCTCTTTGATATCACTGTTATCCACCTCCAATCCCATGATAGTGGCCAAAGACACAATCTCGTTGACTACAGGTTCCACAGGTACTGTCTCAAACCCCTCAAAGTCACAGATCGACAACGCTGTCCGGCCAAAGCTTCTTCCAAGCAGAAGTTAGGGTTCTCTTGGTAACCCCTTCCCCCGCCTTGTCGATCATCTTGAGGCAGGCAACGATGTGGGTGTGATTTTTCCAAAACTCTTTGAGAGTGAGGTTGGTCCCTTCAGTCACCTGAAAACAATGCTCGAAGAGTGCTTAAATGTAGAGCTTCTTAAAGTTAAAAATAACTTGCTGATCCATGGGCTTGAGTAACAGAGTGATGTTGGGAGGCAGAAACTGGATCTTGACGAACTTAAATTCTTCAGGGAGATCATCTTGTAGGCCTGGAGGATTCATGTACACATATCACAATATAACACAAGTTTGAGAAAATGTGTGATCACAAGCGACACTACGATGCTACTGGAAAGAGTGCTAAACACAGACTGATGTAACATGCGCACAGTTCGGGACTTCCCTTCTCCTCGCCACCCGTTATGCTTGTTAAGCAAGTCATTTTTTTACAATTTGTTTTGCTCGTTATGCGAATTACTCTTTATGAAAGGTGCTCGTTAAGCGAGGTTCTACTGTATATCATTTTAATGTGAGGTTTTCCAGTCTAATATTTAATGAGATTCAGTGGTTAATTGACTGTCATTAGTTTCTTATTCTTCTTCTTCTTCACTTCCTCTTTTACCGCTGTGGGTGTCGAGGGAGATATAAGGTTCTGTTTCTAGCTCTTCTGGCTGCCTCGACCATAGGCACATCGTGCTGTTGTAGAGTTTCTCTGATGTTATCCTTCCATCTTGTTCTAGGTCTACCCCGTGCTCTACGTCCTTCTTCTCTTTCCATGTATGCTTTGTATGGTATGGTGTCACAAGGCATTCTCTCTAAGCGGGCAAACCATTTCACTTGCTGTCTTTGTATGTAATCCAGAATTGGTTCTGTGCCGACTTGTTCTCTTATGATCTCATTCCTGATCTTATCTCTTAGGGTCACTCCTACAGCCCTTCTCAGACATCTCATTTCCGTGGTTACTAATTTTCTTTTATGGTTTGTTGTGAGTGACCATGTCTGGCACTGGTAGCACAGAGTTGGAATAAATATGCTTTGAATAAGATGTCTCTTTATGCTGATTGGGATTGTCTTATGCTGTATGAGGGGGGGCTAGCTGTCCCAATACTTGGTTTGCTTTACTGCATCTAATGTCAATTTCTTTATTCAATTTCCCATCTTCGGTAAATGTAGTTCCCAGATATTTAAACTCAGATGCCTGTTTAATGCCTTTGTATTCTATTGCTATGTTTAGATCTGTCTTCTTTTTTTCCTATTGACATTACTTCTGTCTTTTCAGTGTTGATTCTCATATTATTTATTTTACATTCTTCATTCATGGATGTTAGATGTTGTTGCAATTTCATGGCTGTATCTGCTATCAAGGCCTGGTCATCTGCAAAGAGTAATTCCTTGATCTTACTAAGATCTTCATTCATGGGCTTGGCATTCTTGCATATACTGTAGATGTAGGTGATAAACAGCAGTGGTGATAAGACACACCCCTGTCTTACTCCAGATGTCACTGTGAAAGGATGAGATGTTCCCTGATTTATTTTAACTACACTTCTACAACCCCTGTATAAACTTTTGCACACTTCGATGAGGTGTTTGCTTACTCCATATCTTGCCATTATTTTCCATAATAATTGTCGTCATTAGTTTCATCTAGTCCAAATTTTTTTTTTTGAAACTCCAAAAAAGTATTTGTAACTTAGAGAAAAATTTTAATCTCAGATTCCATTACAAACCGTTTTCAGACATATAAAAAGAGGCATCCTTGAGCCAGTTACAGCAGTTAAACACACTGTAGTTGGTGTTACATTATCAACACTCAGGTCAAACTTTCAGTCTCTGTTATAATGGCCAGACTAACAAAACAGTTACCATTAACAGTTAAACTGTTATACCTGCCATAGAAATTGACCCCTTGTTTTTGAAAGTTTGTTAGGCTTGAAAAGTCAACTTATAAGCTACAATTTACTGCACTGTTTTTAGTCTTTAAATCTGTTATGGCACTACTAGCTTAACCCTTTCGCTGCTATGGACGAGATAACTCGTCTGCCCGGCAGACTGCTAAAGACGAGATAACTCGGCTGCAATTTTCTGTGCCCTCACTGCTAAAGACGAGATATCTCGCCCTCGTCATTTTTTTACAGATTGCTAAGAACAGTGATTCTTAGGGGTGAAATAGCAATAAACATTACCTTAATCTGATAAAACTGACCCGTTTACGTGCAATTAAAACCCTTATCAAGTGAGTTTAGGCGTATTTTGATGCATTTCACGTTACCCTGTTTCTTTGTTACCATAGAAGCATGGTCGGTGAACGGTAATTTTTTTGCCCTGAAATATATTTCTGGTTTTGCGTTAGTCTACATTAAAAAAAAAAATAACAAGAACATTTGTTTAAATGAAGAAGAATTAATGGAGTTTCTTTCAAGGAGTAGTAGTAAAGATGACTTTGAAACGTGTGAGTTATTTAAGCTGGGTTATCTTCGCGGCACGCCGGTGGACACGTGTACTTCTGGCTGTGAACAAGACTGATCAGTGACCATATGACCTAGCTATCTACATCGATTTGATTTGAAACGGATCCGAAATAATAAAAAAAAAAAAGAAGATATGGTCACATATATGATGATTAACATAAGTTAATGTCAATAATATACTATAAACTGACATAATTGTGTTTGTCTATTATACTGGTCTTTTTTTCAGTGAAAGTCAATGTGAATTTCTAGTGTAGTTGGTATCACGTCTGCCTTACAATCGAAAGGTCCAGGGTTCATCCCCTACGAGGCGTTTTTTTTTTTTTTTAATTATTTTAAATGAAAATTTTTAATTTATGCTCTTAGCATTTTCGGCAACAGATCACCGAAGTAATAATTAATTAAACATCCTGTCACGTGCGTTCAGGTGGATTTAGATGCTTTACACGTTATCCTGTTCCTTTGTGAAGCGTGGTTGGTGTACTGTGCCTTTGTTACATTTCAATATTGTGTCTTTGGATAAGTCTATATTTCCTTCATACAAAATGGCAAGACAATTTGTTAAAGTTGACGAAGAATTGATGGAGTTTCTTTCGAGGAGTGATAGTGAAGATGACTTTGAAATGTGTAGTTCTGATAGTGAGCAGCACGATCTTACTGTGCCATCGACATCGACGGGACAAACCAGCGTGGCCGAGAAAAGGTTGTTTGCGTGTCCGACGTCCTCATCATCATCGGAATCAGAAGGTAGTGATGATGAAGTGCCATCAAAACGACATAAAATTGATCAGCTATCCTGGTCTTCCAACGACTTGCGACCCGATGTGCATACGTTTGATGACTCCAGCTCTGGCTGTCTTTTAGCTGCTGTGAATAAAAACAGCTCAGTGCTTGATTTTTTTAAACTTTTTTTCACTGAATCGCTGGTGACTTTCCTCGCAGATGAATGTAACAGATTCAGCAAGTATGTCATTGACAAGGGACCTGCTACTGTAAGCTCTCGTCTTTGCAGATGGACAGATACGGATTTGGACGAATTATTTTGTTTTTTGTGCTGTGTGTCTACTCATGCCCAGAACAAAGAAACTCAAAATAAATGAGTACTGGACCAAAGACTGTTTGCTGAGAACGCCAATGTTTGGTGAAATTATGTCGAGGGACAGATTTCTATTATTGTTAAGAATGTTGCATTTCTCGGACAATAATGCTGATGCAGGTGGCGACAAACTGTTCAAAATTAGACATGTGATCGACAGTTTGCGTGCATCGTTTCGTGGGGCGTTTTCGCCTTATCGAGATGTGGTTGTTGACGAGTCGCTACTTCTTTTCAAAGGAAGGTTGTCATTCAAACAGTACATTCCGTCAAAGAGAAGTAGATTTGGTGTAAAAACTTTTGTAATGTGTTACTGCAGAACTGGGTATATTTTAGATTTCATTGTGTACACTGGTGTCAACAGCGACATTACTGTGTCAGGTTTAGGGAAAGGGGCTGATATTGTTTCCACTTTGCTGGCCCCCTATCTACAGAAAGGTCACAGACTTTATGTAGATAACTGGCACACAAGCCCAGATTTGTTTATGTGGCTTCATGGTCAGGCTACAAATGCATGTGGTACTGTACGTAAAACAAGAAAACACATGCCCAAAATGGAGCAAAAATTAAAGAAAGGAGAAGTTAGTTCCAAGTCTGCTGCATGTTTATTAGCTATCAAATGGTGTGACAAACGAGAGGTGTGGATGCTGACAACATGCCACGATTCAGGAATGGTAGCAACAGAAAAAATAGACAGGAAAACTGGGTTAAATATTGTAAAGCCACAATGTGTTGTGGATTACAACAAATGCATGGGTTCAGTAGATCGTACTGACATGCTTCTTAGTTCTATAGAATCTATTAGAAAAACTGTCAAATGGTATAAAAAGCTTTTTTTCCACGTTTTAGATCTCTCTATTTTAAATGCACATTCATTATATAAAGCTGTTGTGGGGAAAAACACACCTGTTGCCGAATTTCACTTAATGTTAGTAAGAGAAATTCTACAGAAATATTGCAAGGAAAAGAGAAAAAGTGTAGGAGGACAAAAAAGTGAAGATCTGCCACTTCGTTTAGTACAAAGGCATTTCCCTTCATCAATAGAGTCCGTAACATCACAGAAGAAATTCCCAACAAGAAAGTGTGTGGTATGTGCAAAAAGCAAAAAACGACGGGAAACCAGATACATGTGCAAGGACTGTGATTTGGCATTGTGTGTCACACCTTGTTTTGAAATATTTCACACACAAAGATATTATTAATAATAATAAAAACCATGTATTTGCTTACTAACGTGTTTTGTGTTTGCTTTGTAAGTTTGTAATGTTTTCTTTTTGTTAATGAGTTTTCACGGCGTAGAAATAGCGCGTCTGACTTGTCAGCGCAAAGTTTAACCACACGCCTTAAAGGATTTTTTATTTTAGGTGTACAATTTTTACCCCGCGCCGCAATCGCGTCTTCTGCTTTTGAAGGAAAAAACGGTATTCAGCACAGGGGGAAAGATTAGCTCTCGCATGGCTTAGCACAGTGGTTACGTTGGCTGGCGGAGGGCGCAGCAGCGAAAGGGTTAGTGTTATTTTTTTTTTACTCAGGTCAATTGTAAAACATCTAATTTCTGTTATTTAATGTCTAGTGTTACTTTTCAGTGCCTGGACGACCCAAAAAAGTCTTTGTCATCATTAATCCTATTAGTGGTTCCAAGACAGGATTGAAGGTCTATCAGAAGAAAGTAGCACCCTTGTTTGACTTGGCTGGGATGCATACAACTGTAACAAGTATGTGACAAATCATTCATGCCTTTGTATGGTTATAAATGGTTATGTTATCTGTTATTGCTAAAGAGTACCATATTTTCATTTTCAATTTTAATGCAGGTTGGAGGTCATTGATCGACTGATCCTGACAAATCTGTTACAAAAAGGTTAGAAAAGCGTTGACTGTCGGTCAACAGAGGTCACAGATAAGTCCTAAGTCACTAAGTATTTTATTTAATCCTGCCAGTTTTCCTCACTCAGTTAAAATGGCCATATGCGTCTGTTGCCAAGGATGTGGCTTCTGCAGCAAACTTTTTTTTTCTCTTCTTTAGCCCCAACTGGAGCGCAGACCCTCAACCAACTCACACCAAGTCACCATATCCTTTGATATCACAGGCAGTTCACCCCATATCTTTACCGTCTTTTTTTTTTTTTTTTATTTCCTTTGACTTCCACAAATTCCTACATGTATAAAAAAAAAAGTCAGATCTGTAAAACAGATGTACCCGCAACTGTCAAGAACCTTATATCTGCCGTTCCAGCACGTGGCTCGTCTTGTAGGCCTGTAACAGATACATTTTTTCTACACATACTAAACCCAAACACCCAATGTTGAATGTTGAATTAAGAATCGACATTACAACACTCGGGACACCCTCATAAGCGCTCAAGCCACTATTTCAGAGCTTTCCACTTCAGCGGTGCCACTAAGTCTACATGTTCAGTCTTATCTGTATGCTTGGCACGTCACCTCTGGGCAAGAGTCTGAGTGTTTGATATCAACTGCAGACCAGGAAAATGTAATAGCTTTGTTCTGTCAACCTAGATTTAGGTTACAGCCAAGGAGCAATGTTTTCCTCTATAACTTAAAATATATAGACACAAATCAAGTTGGGGAAAAACACGTTCTAGAGTCAAGAGCGTGTCATCACACTTCTTCTCCTTCTTCTTCTCTTCCTCCTTCTCTTCCTTTTTCCTTCTCCTCCTTTTTCCTTCATCATCATCACCACCACCATCATCTTCATCTGTTTTACAGACCTGGCTATTTATGTGCAGACTGTTGGTTTCTCTTCCTTAGGCAAATGCACTTTGAATCAAAGGAAAACATTTCTAATTTCCTTTTTAAGATGTCCTTTTTATGAAGCAGTGGATCTATTCTTGTTGACCCAGAATGGAGTCCCAAAAGCTCACAAGTGAAACATAAAGCTGAAAAAGTGTTTTAGGGATGAGTCGTAGGAAGTCAGTCCAAAGAACAGGGGGCATCCATATCAGTCAGCTACACGTAATTGATTAATACATAAAAAGATATTGTTATGTTGTGGCTGTTATCATTTCAAATTTGAAATGAAAAATAGTAGTCTATATCATGTCAGTATTTAATTTAAAATTCAGTTATTCTGTTACAGCTTAATTTTCTTTAATTTAACATCATCAGTAATACATTTAAAAAAATCTAAAGGTTCACACATGCACGCTACACTACATTCACACAGATATATATACACCCAGAAAGTAAATGTAGCACATGGGTACGCTCACTCACTAGTCCACTGTCTGGCATTCCTGAGTATTACCTGGCACTATTTTTTTAAATTTTAGTTACAGAAAGGTCCAAACATGCTGTAGAATTGGGCGAGCACCAGGATTTCTCAGGCTATGACGCGTAAGTGTTAATTAAGAAAATGATAGGTATTATCTATATTACAGTTGCATTTCTAGTTATTTGCTATATATTCTTACGACTTTAGTAATGCTGTAATTAGCCCAGTGTGCTGTGATGTCAGTTTTGAAATCAGTAATCACAGTTTAACAGTTCAGAAAAGTATTCTCTTGGAACTGGATATCAACTGTGAGATACCATCCAAAGAGGAAATTAGAAAAGCTTTCAATCTTCTCAAGGAAGGAAAGGCAACAGGCCCAGATCCCAGCTGAAGCCATCAGGGCCAACATGAACACATCAACAGAATTGCTACATAGATTATTTAGTACAATCTGGGAGACCATGGAAATGAGATGTCTGATAAGGGCTGTAGGAGTGACCATAAGAGATAAGATCAGGAATGAGATCATAAGAGAAAAAGTCGGCACAAAACCAATTCTAAATTACATACAAAGACAGCAAGTGAAATGGTTTGCCCACTTAGAGAGAATGCCTTGTGACACCATACCATACAAAGCATAAATGGAAAGAGAAGAAGGACTTGGAGCACGAGGTAGACCAAGAACAAGATGGAATGATAACATCAGAGAAACTATACAACAGCACGATGTGCCTATGGTTGAAGCGGCCAGAAGAGCTAGAAACAGAACCTTATATCTCCCTCGACACCCACAGCAGTAAAAGAGGAAGTGAAGAAGAAGAAGAAGAAGAAAAGAAATTACAAGAAATACTAGACTAAAAATTTTTAAATTCTAATGTCAAATCAGTACTTTTGTATGGGGCATAAACACGGAGACCAATTAAGGCAATTACTAATAAATTACAGACATTCATTAACTGGTGCCTGCGCAGAATAGAGTGAATTAAATGGTAAGATAGAATAGCTAATGTAGAGCTTTGGGAGAGAACTAAACAGGCTCCAGTGGATTGAGAGGTGAGGAAAAAATGCTGGCATTGGATAGGACATACACTGAGAAAACAGGAGAACAGCATAACTAGAATGTCTTTGTATTGGAACCCACAGAGGCATAAGAATAAAGGAAGGCCAAAAAAACACATGGAAAAGAGAGCTGGAGAATGAAGTTAGAAAGATGAGGAGGACATGGGGAGAGCTGCACGTAATGGCAAAGGATAGAACGACTTTGCGTAAGTTGGTTGAGGGCCTATGCTCCATTGGGGGATAGAAAGGCAGAAAAAGAAGAAAGTATTTCTTCCATCTGTTACATATTTCTTCATTATTATTTGTCATGTTGCCATTGTGATCTTTTAAACTTTATATGCTGTGTTGATGTCCTCATTTTACAGCCTTCAGTTCTTTTAAAAACTTTCTCAATTCATTATTCTAATGGTTAGCTTCCATATCCATGACAGTGTTATTCATGTATCCTTGTTTCTGCTGCTTAACAACTTTTGTAGCTTCTTTACATTCTGTTTTAAATTTTTCTTCATTTTGTATGTTACTAGCGTCAGTTAGCCTCATCTGCCTGGCATGTTTTTTCTTACTGGCTGGTTCTTCTCATTTTTTTTTAATTGAACCATTTGTTCTTTCTGTTTATGGTGGACACACCGAGACATTCTTCTGCAGTCGTTTGAATTATATTCCCAATATCCATCCAGGTTTGGTCAACATCTTCCTCTGACAGAACTTGGTGTTGAAGGAGCTCTTAAGCTTGATTTTTATTTTTGCACCAACCAGGTAGTGGTCACTTTGACACTCAGCTCCTCTGTAGCTTCCAACTTGTATGTTCAGTGCCTTTCTATTATTTATTAAAATGTGATCTATTTGATTATAAGTTATCTTGTCACATGATTGCCAGGTTTGTTTGTTCATATCGTTTCGTTGAAATCTGGTGCTGGTTATCTGTAGTCCTTTGGCTTCTGAGAGGTTGATTAATCTCCATCCGTTATCATTTGAAACTGTATGTAGCTTTCCATGCCTGCTACATTTTTATAGGTGTTCTCTTCTTATTTTTGCATTGAAATCTCAGAAGACAGTCAATATGTCCTGTTTTTTAGTTTTCCCTATTGTATACTCAAGGCGATCATAGAAAGCTTCTTTAATATCATCTTCTTTATCTTCAATGAATGCATGCACATTGATCATCATGATATTTTTCCATTTTCCTTTTATTTGTAACTTACTAATCACATTATCAGCAGCTTCAAAGGCGAACGAAAGAAGAAGAAGAAGCAGCTTCAAAATTTATACTACTTTCTCACAACAAATCCTCTCCCTAGTTCATGTTTGTATTAAGAGTTTCTTCCATACACTATAATCATTCCATTTTCCTCTATGGTACCTTGTCCTGGCCATTTTATTTCTTGAATTATATTCATTCTGTATTCTGATAACTCACGGGTCAGTTCTTCAGCTACTCCAGCTCTATAAAGAGTTTGTACATTCCATGTTCCAGATCTCAATAGTCCTTTAATGTTCCAGTTTCATTGTCGGTTGAAATCCATCCTAAATCAAGGCTTAAATATCTGTTTCATGAGGAAATAAAGTTTTACGAAGGTGGGGGTGTGCGGCCCCACACTTTAACCCCAAACTGGAGGACCAGGGTGTCTCTTTACCCTTCGACCATTCTGGCCTGGGAGACCCTGCTGGTAGCTACTGCTGGCATAGCTCTCGGGTCGTTTACAAACAGTGGCTCCCCACCGGGTCAAGGTGGAGACACAAATCGGGGGAGTCTATGGAATCTATTTATTAAATTATTTCTATCTAATGCTCATCAGTCTCTTCAGACATTTGTTTTAAAAAGCATTAAAGATCATTCTGTGTTTTTAGTGGTTCTCCAACTTTCACCAGTAAATGTTGCAATTAAAAAAAACCATTAGAATTCAAAATGTGTCATTTGGTTTTAAAGCTGTAGAGTTCTCCGTTTTATTAAGATTTTAGAAGCTGCTGCCTTGCTAGTGGGTATAATATTTCTTTTTTGTTTTGTTTTACCCTGACAATCAAAATTACTTCTTAAATAGGTAAACTGATTTGTTACTTTAATTGTTCTTGTCTCTAGTGCAGTATCTGTTAAAACTTTTATTGATGTTTTCAGTATGTTTTTCTTTTGTATTTTCTTCTTCTTTCGTTCACCTGAAATAAGTTGTCCAAAAGAGTTTACGTTCCACTGTTGTTCTTTCTGGCCAAAAGGTTTGCCTTAATGTGTCAAATTCGGTGCAGTCCTGGAGTACATGTTCTGCTGTCTGGGGCACCTTTCCACGGGTGCACATGGCTGATGCCTATCTTAAATTTTGTGTACATGTGGTTACGTAATCGGTTGTGCCCTGTTCTGAGGCGGAGGATAAATGACTTGTTCTGATCTGTCCATAATACAATAGTCATCTTGTGCTGGGGCTGGTGGTTTCCTGATCGATTTAATTATTCTTTTCTTTTGGTGGTATGTAACTGGTACATCCCGCTGCACTTTTGTCACACCTTCTCCTGCCAGTTGATCAGCTTTCTCCTTTCCAGGCACTCCACAATGTGACGGCATCCACTGCATTACAACTCTTCCCTGAAGGCTAAGTTGTGTCAGCAGTGTTTGCAGTTGTGGTAGTTTCCTACACTAGAGTGGTTCAAGTACTGATTTTGCATCTGTCAGCATTACCACATATTGTGAGCCAAGATTGGTATTTAGCAGTTTCTCTGTTGCTATCTTGATAGCCTGAGTTTCTGCATCATAGTTATGGCAGTACTTCCCAGTTGGTATGCTGGACTTATTCCTAGTACCATCTGGGAATTCGATGTACACTCCAGCACCACCACTTCTAACTGCACTTTCTGCGGACCCATCTGTATGGATTCTGACCCATTGTTCTTGTATGTATTCTTCATCAATATAATTGAGGGTGGCCATTCTGCATTGTACACTATCTTGCTCTTTCTTGTCAAATATTTCTTTCACATTTGTCTGGATTTGTACTGTTAGTTTGCATTTTCCTCTCCATGGGGTTTGTTCTGGAATACTTTTAAGCGGAGAACCAATTTCTGGAAGATCAGCAGTTTGTCTACATATTCTTTTTGCTTGATGTATAAAGCTGCTTGTTTTTAACTGTCCCAAGGCTAGGTTCTGAAATCTATTTTTCATGGGGTGATCTGGCATACTGAGGAACCTTTCAGCTTGTATTTGAAACTTTGTATATCTGCTCTCTGCGTTCTCTCTCTGTGTTTTCCCAGCTTTCTCCATTTCTAATATGGGGGTTGATTTCATCCCTCCTGTGATGACTCTTGAGTGCTTGATTTTGCACTTTGTCCAACTCCTTTAATGTGGTACTAGATCTGAACACCATGCAGTTGACCCATATTCTAAGTGTTGTTGTATGCTCTGCTTGTATACTTTTTGAGTATTCTCCCACTGGCTCCCCTTGTGGTTCCACTTAGTTTTCTTAGTATGGTGGTCTTCCTCCTGGCTTTGGTTGCTGCCTTGTTGATATGTTTTCTCCATGTCAACCTGTCATCAAATGTGACTCCGAGGTACGTGGGCTCTTTATCATCTCTTAGGAGTATTCCATTTATTTTGATGATGCCCGCTTTTTGCTTTGGGGAGAGAGTGAAGAGTGTGGTGCTACATTTGTCTGTATTGATGCTGACACACCATCTATTGGCCCATGCCTCAAGTGCATATGTAGCCCGCTGTAGTGTTCTTGTGGCTATCGTTGCATGTTCATTGGTGCACTACAGTACCAGGTCATCGGCATACATTGCCATTTTTATTCCATTTGGCATCTCACCAACCAGGTTGTTGATGAATAAGAGGAAAAGTGTGGGCAACTGGACACCACTTTGAGGGACGCCATGTTGCAGTAGAACTTTTTTACTTTTGAAACCATCTACCTGTACCCGGGCTCTTCTGATATATGTAGATATGCTTTAATCCAATTGTACATTCTTCCATTTACTTTATAGTTTCTCAATTTCTTCAAAAGCCCCTCCTTCCAAACCTTGTCAAAAGCTTTCCTTAAATCTATCCATGCCGCGAGTACCAGTTTCTTATCTTGAAAAGCATCCTCTATTTCTTGGGAGAGGTATGTTGTCTGGTCTTCCGTAGAGTAGAACTTTCTAAAGCCCGCCTGCTGTGGTGTAATGACGTTTTCACTTTTAATGTACCACTGTAGTCTGAGGTTGGTAATGCACTCCATTATTTTGCAGAGACAACTTGTGAGGCTGATCAGTCTATAGTTGGAGGCATTAGAACTGTCTTTCCCAGGCTTTATGAGGGATATCATAATTGCCTCTCTCCAGATCTGTGGAACATTTTCTGTTGCCCAGCAAGCATTAAATATCTGTAAAAGCTTTGTTTTGGCCACTGTTCCTAAGTTTCTGATCATTTCGTTTGATATACCATCTGCTCCTGATGACTTTCGCATTTTCAGCTTTGAAATGGCCAACTCCAGTTCATTAAGTGTAATTGGCACCTCTAGTGCCTCTGATGTTATTTCTTTCTGACTTCTGAATAGTGTCTTTTCTTGAATTTCTTTTTTTTTTTTTTTCTGAACTGATTTAAATGTTGTTAACTTAAGCAAAAGTGTCTGCAAAGAGGTTGGCTGCCTCTTTTCCTGTGACCATGTTTCCATCTTTCTGCAGCGTGATCTTTTGAGTTCCACCCTGTCTCCTCATCATTAATTTGTTTTACATGCTTCGATAACTTTCTTGTGCCTTTTTTAAAGTTCAGCGACCTTGTTTTATCCTGCCAGCTTTCCCTTTTATCCTGCAGCTTTGCCCTTACAAATTTTGCTTTTGCATGCTGGTAGTTATTGTGATGTTCTTGGTTTGGCCTGGTCTCTGCTTTCTTCCTAGATGTTTCCACTTTGTTATGTAAATTTTCTAGTTCACTATTCCAGTATGGCTTATAATGCTTACGGGCACCTCTTGGTATTGATTCTCCTGCTGCCTTTAGTACGCATTTGTTAAATTCTTTAACTACTTTGTTTATATCCTGGTCTACACTGAGACTTCCAAGCAGTATACTGGTACGGTGCTTGAACATTGTCCAGTCAACCTTCTTGTAGTTCCACCTTGGCAGCATACTAGTTCCTCTGACCTTTTCATTTTCTACATTCAGGAAGACCGGTTGATGATCACTGCCTCACAGTTGTTTTCCAACAACTCGTGTAATGTTCCAATACAGATCTGGAGAGTGAAATGCTAGGTCTGGGGTAGTAGTGGTGTGCCACGACCTCGAGTAGAATGTGGGTGGATCAGTTGGCCTAATAATCAGAACAAGCCTGTTCTCATCCTGCCACTCTTCCAGTTTCTCTCCTCTCTGGTCTATGTGGTCGTACCCCCAGCTTTGTGAGTGGCTGTTAAAGTCTCCACATAGAATCATCTTTACTTCTACTGGGATTGTGTCTAGTGCCTGGGGATGATCACTTGGGCAGTAATAGTTGATCAGGTAGAAGTCTGCATTTCCAGTTTGCACTTTTAGATCTGATATTCTGCTTCATCCACATATACTTCAGTCTGGTAGGCAGTGATATTGTTCCTTACTATAGTCAGTATTCCACCCTTTTTCCTGCCTTTCCGGTCTGATCGGAAGCACTGATAACCTCTGATTTTGAAGACTGTGTCTTCAGTGAGGTCAGTTTCTTGTAGACAGCATATATGTATCTGTTCCACATTCAGAATATTTTCTAACTCTAGCTTTTTATTTGTAATCCCCTCCGCATTCCAGCACATTAATTTGACTGCTTTCTTAGCTCGGCCAAATGCTCTATTCTCATGTCACCTGGCTCCACAGGACATTTGAGAAGGACCTCTAGTAATTTGGGTTGGGCCTCTTCGAGGCAGAGGGCCCAGCACTGCTCCTGCCGGAGAGTCCATCACAGGGCGAGCACCATATCGTTTTGCTGATTTAGACATATTTCCATGGCGCGTGTATGTGGCATCCTGATTGCTGTGGTGCGCCTCCTGGCTGGTTGCCTCCGACTTCAGCATCTTGTTTTGCAAGGGTAGACTGGTCATACTCGAGGAGAGTAGGCTCATCTGTTCGTCTGTCGCCTTTACCTTGTTTGTTGTCCCATCCAGTTTCCCGTTTCAACTGGATTGATTGTGCATCATTGCTCCATTAGGACCCCTATTTTGAATCTGATTTCCATTCTGACATTTGATGCTGTTTGCTAAATAATCTGTTTTTCCTTTGCATGTTTTTGTTGTTTTTTATTTAGAAGAACAGTATTAATCTGCAAAGTCAGAAACCTACAGTTGTTTGTTCTCTACCCAGTCGATGTCATTATTTCCTGCACATATTTTTTTCATAATCCAATCATTAGTTAGGCCAAATAACAAGAGAGTTAAAAAAAAAAATCCCAGTTTAACTAGTTTCAACTGCCATCTAATCACTGAAACCATCATCTGTTTCCACTGCATGCTCTACACCTTCATAGATTGTTTTTATGATTTTCATTTATAAATTGATTGTTGACAAAAAGTCTAAATATGAAACATAAAAGTACAATATCCTTGAATTTAAAGTCTTAGAAAAGAAAAGTTATTCCATAAAGCATGGAGACAGAAAGCTTACTCTTCACATTTACTATAAATATATAAAATCAAGGAACAAGACATTTCTTTATTGTCCTATTGTATAACAGACTGTTCTTTAAGTAATAAAAATGCAAGTTTTCATATATTAACCCAATGATAACCACAGTCGCACGTTACACAATTCGCCAATGGTTACGTCTGGCTACCTTAATTGCATCCCTTGCATTTGTAACTTTGGATGCTTGCCACCATGATAAAAAATTTTATAAGTGTAGTTTTCAAATTTTTCATTTTTTTAAAATTCATAGAATCGATTACACTCACAATTTATGTCATATTTAAGCAATTAGGCATTAAAAGCTTTATAATAAAGACCCCAAAATAACATTGACTGACACATTGCAACCGTTGTTTCCAAATATTGTACTATGACATATTATGTATCATTTTTAAGGTGAATGCAAGACCTATTCTGATTTTTATATATGAAAGTAAAATCAAGTTTTGCCTGCTAGATTCAAAACTTAGAAAGTACTGACCATACGGATATTTCATTGGCTCCATTGTTTGACCTTATCTGATTAGTGTTTATTTTTCAAAATTCTGGACTTGTATACCTTTTGTGATTGACTTGCTAATGTTTTTAATTTTATTAAAAATCAGCATACATTGTTGACTCAACTCTGCAGTGATACCCTACTTTAATGACAATATTTTCAGTATTGTTGTTGTTGGTGGTGATGGATTGTACCAAGAAGTTCTTCTGGGTTTCACTGTAAGGATTCAGAAAGAGGCAAAGGTAGACTATAATAATCCAGAATCAGTCTTTATAAAGCCTGCTATCCCTTTTGGAGTCATCCCCACAGGTAAAGTAGTTACATACAAGATACACTAGTGAATAAATAAATAACCTTTCTATTAAAATGAAATCAATTTTAGATTTTGCTCTGCAGTCTGTTTTCTCTGTCACTTTTCTGTCTCATTATTGTTGAGAAAAGTCAAAGACGCTGAACCAGATTCTGTCCATGCTAGTGAAAGGATTGCGCTGGGTAGAATTGAATGGAGGGCTAGTCTACAAGCCCTATGTGACATAAAATGGCATAACAAGATGATTGCTGTCTCATGCTCTTTCTGTACATGTCTCTCATTCTTTTTCTCTGTCTCTCTTTTTCTTGTATTTTGTGTGTATGAGATAGAGAGAGACAGAGAATTAGGGTTGTTTACCTGTCCTTCCCTTTTGTATTTCTTTATTTAGATTTTAGTGATGCACCAGTAGTTAGAGGATTCTTGAGTTGGGATTTAGCTGTGATTCCAACAAGGTTGAAAATATGAAAAAACACATTCAGTGTTAAGGCACGGTAATTTGCTTTATTCTAGCAAATGCACTATGTGCAATCTACAGAGGGAATGGCAAATAGTGAAACATCCTAAAAGATTATCTTTCTCCCAGCCTTGCTGGTTAAAGGAAAGGATTCATGGTTGGCCCACATCTGATTCCCTAATGTTAAAAAATTGTATAGTTAATTGTAGTAAACTATACTAGCTATAGCTCACTGACACAAATGACTACGGTTAAAATGAACTCCATAAACTGGATGGACAATTAAGACAATCATGTATTTAAATCATGGGACTGGATGGAAATAAAAAACAAGTTCTTGGTTGACATAGTGGATTGATGATAGTCCAGTCTAGACAATCAGGCACCTGATAATAAATATCTCAGTTGATATAACCAAGCAAAGAGAAGCAGGTAAAAAATGTACATAAATGCAAATGAGAAAGGTGTGTAGACCTAGAATACAGCAGACAAAGTCAGTGCATGTTAGTGGGTGTTTAAAGGTAAGAACAGTGTTCCTTCTGCCAAGCAAAGAGAAGCAGGTAAACATTAACATCATAGACCATAATATCCATTTTATATCCATATAACATATATATCCTGGACAATTTCTTCAATTTCTTGAAGCCTCAAAGATGTGTTTTTTTAGAAGAATGCTTAAAATACCTTGGACAGCCAAGAAGAGCAACCAAGAGCTTTTGAAAGAGGTGGGAGCCCAAAAACTAATCACAGATGTCAGAACGAGACAGTCATCAATTTTCGGCCATGTTATGAGAAGAGGGAAAATAGAACATGTTATGACCACTAGAAAGATCTGTGGAAGGAGGGATAGAGGAAGACAGTGAGATAAGATTCTTGGCAGTCTTGTTGCATGGCATGGAGGTGTGTCAGCACACAAATTAATACATGCTGCAGGAGATCGCAGATTGTGGAGAGGCATGATCGCCCAGTCTAGTTGGCAAGGCACCTGATGATGATGATCCATATAACCTAACATAGAAATATTTTGAACTGGCATTTAAAGTGAGTACACAAGAAATTATTATGAAAACAAGCCCAACTGCTCCCTGGGTTGTTCCTTACCTTAAATCACACAAAAAGAGACACAATCCCTTCCCTGACAGGTCTGTTATTTCCCCTTTTGTGAAACAATGTAAGCGATTTAGTTAGACATTTGATGCAGGGCCCAGACGTGACCGCTAACAAAATGGCTAGCCAGCACCAGGTCAATTGCGGTCGAAATCCAGTTCATTTCCACACTATTTAATTCAAATATTTTGATTTTCACATGTAGAATACTACACCACACAATATAGCACACTTCAAGTTATATGCTGTGTGTAAATAAATCACTCTTACCTTTCTTTGATATCTCACATGTGTGAAATGTGGGGAACCAAAATGTGAACCCACACCTAACTTCTTGCATGCTCAAAGGTATGGAGGAAAAGTGGCTATGATTTGAGCGCAAGTCAAATTCTGGACGAAAGTAGTTTTGTAGTCATCCATTGTCACCAAGCGCTGGTGTAACAGTGACAAGATGGTGTTTCTTGGTGGTTCAACTCCTCCTGTTTTTTATGTTTGGAAAAGCCCACCACTCAATGAGGGTAAAGAAAGAAACTGGTAGCTCAAGTATTGGTCTACAGGGGTATTTCCTAGAGTTCACAATATCCAGTCAACACTCCCACTGGGATGAGGAAATTTAGCACTTCGACAACCGTCTCCTCAGTAATGTGCTAGCTGGACTTCCTCACCACTGTAGTAATGCCCCCATGTATTCTAGCTTTGCGATTTAAAAAAAAAAAGGAAGAAATCGACTGATAGTTTTCGCTAAATTCCAGACGACAGACATGGACAAGTCTTCTAGATCTGTGAAGGATTGCTACAGACTTTAGCACCAGGTCTTTGATATTTATCAAGGTGGAGTGTGGTATAGTCAATGATATAATGCTTACTGATGGTGATATTCATAGTCATGAACATTGAAACTTCTGTGAAGTCACTCCATGAGTTTGTTGCAGGAGGACCGTCATGGCTCCTGCTGATGATGCTGCCATTAATTTGACAATACTTAAATGGGCCTTACAATATATCCTAGAGCTAACCCCCCCCCCCCCCCCCCCCCCTTTCACTCTGGGACTGCACACTGTAAAGGTATTCATCCTACAGAGTTCTCTTTCATTATTCACTGAGTAAATGAATTGAATGATCTGAATTTCTGTGTAATACTGTAATACTGATCGTTGATGCTGCATAACTACAGTAAGAACGAATAGTAACGTAGTTACCAGTGCTGCTTCAGAGGTGCCTAGCAGTGGCTTCCTCGAATGATTGTTGATGTTGAGACTGGTTTTGTTTGATGGTAGCTAGAGATTCTGGCAATGCAGAAAGGTCATTTCTAAGGTTCAAAAATATATGTAGCCACATATAATCTCTATTATTCGCCTCCTGAACCACACAGCATCAGGGTTCAGTAATATATCCTGTGCAATCCTTCAAAGCTGCACGCAATTCTTAAGGGTCCCTGCTTCAGCCTGTACCTAGTCCTGGATGAAAACAACCAAAGTGCTACAAGAGTCACTCACACAGGCTTCCAATGCCTCCTCCTCTCCCTGGAAAGACAGAAGAAAATAAGCATGCCCCCTTGATATGTGACCTAAAGATGAGTTCCAGAAAGATCTTTGCACAAATGCAGATATTGGGGAAAACAAATTTACGGTCCCATTGCCTGCTCAATGAGGGGGACTATACCTAAGCAGCTTTAATGCTCAGAATTGCACAAACCCACCCGAATCTGTTGCCACACATCTGCTAAATGCTATGTCAAATCTGAAGTTATAAATCCATGGAAAACTTAAAGATTTATTTAGAAAAGCATACATTAAAAAGTTTGCTTTAGCCAAAAAGAAAAAACTATCTGCTCGGCCAAATCGGACATGTCTTTCTGTGGAATTGCAAATTTCCACAGTCCTGGCAAATAAGCTTCAAAATATCTGTCTGTCTCAATGAGATAAGATAACTAGTTAAACAGATTAAATTGTTCACCCTAGGGGTTCTCAGCTTTCTCACCAGAGGCCTCAGAGTTGCCAGGCGACATCTACTATGCAGATGAATGTGTCAGTTGCACTTCCTGAGACTTTGCTCAGGATGACAGTATATGATGCTATACCCGCATCCATGCTAACTTGACCATTCAAGATGTTGCAAATCTCTCATTGAAACGTAAGGACATCTCTCATTGTCTTTCTCTGTATTTATCAATAAATCTTCCCTGTTGTCACAATGTGTTCTAGTTTTTCATAGTTGACCAAAACATAATGACTGCTTATTTCTGATGTTCATTTAAGTTTTACAGTACAATATGTTGATAATCATAAAGCAATATTTATATTGCCTGTTGACTACAGATTTACATGTGATCAGATGCAACTGTTATCCAATTCTTAAATTTCAGCTGACATACATTTTTCAGTAGTGTTTATCTTGTTTTCATAAAGGTACAGGAAATGGTATTGCTGGATGGTGTTATGGTATTCTTGATGAAGTAACGGCAGCTCTTAATATAATCAGAGATAATGTCATGAAAGCAGGAGTAGTTATTTAAGTTTTTTTAAGATTCGATTGACCCTATTTCTCCAAGTATAAGACGATTCCATGTATCTTGATTTTGCGACCAGAAATTTTGAAGAAAATATCAAAAAGTTAATTGTTTCCATTCTTGTTGATAGGTGGAGTAAACATTGGTCTCTGATTCGGTTTAAGTGTGTGTTTTTAACACTAGCAAGTTCAATAAAGATGATCCTATGACAGGTCCAGCAAACCAGTAGGGAATGTTTTTGTTTAACTGCTGTTGCTGAAGAATTTTGGAGGAAATTACAGGAAAAGCGTGATTCTGTCAATGCTGTAAAGGCCAGAAACACACGCAACACATCAGAAAAGGGAATAAACAATTGCTACAGCAAGTCTGGGATATTCAATACTTGGAATGTTAGCACACTAGAAAATGAAGAACCAGAACTAATTAATAAATACTACTAAAACTGAAGTAATCCGGGTCAGCAGAATTCCTAGTCTGCTACATATTGGGTTATATGGTATTTGTCTGCAACAAGTTCAAGAACTTAAATATCTAGGAATTATATTGTCAGAAAATGAGAGAATAGATTGGGAAATAGAAACAAGATGCCAACAATGTGAAAGACTTTGATGCCTGAGAAATGCTGCCAACTTAACCAACCAAGACAAAGTTAGAAATAATATTATCAGACATGTAGGAACAACACCATGCAGCAAATTTATTGAGAAACAGAAAATCAGATGCTTTGGTCATTTAGTAAAAATGCAGCCTGGATAATCAATTCAGGCACTACACGTGAAAAGATTTAAAGTGAAAGCAAGAGCTTGCCCTAGGAGAAGAAGGATTTATGCATTTAAAGAGCTTCTATATCAACACGGAATGACAGTAGCCATTGCTGCTCCTCAAGCAATGGATCACAAACTGTTCCTCCCTATGACGCTTAATGGCAGAAAGGGAAATTGATGTTAAAAGTTATTGACTCATGTTTCATTCTTCATAGAATCCAGAAAACTACAAATCACTGTCAAAACTCATCCATGTGGACTTGAGACAAGAAGACAGTCAATGGGGTGGGACAAGGATTGTAGATGATCATGGAATGATTCATGCAGTGAAGAAATGGCTACTGACAAAATCTGGTACAGGCTAGGAATACAGGCACTTGTTTCATGCTGGCATAAAGCTGTTCACATTTATGTGGATTATCTTGAATAATATTGATGTTTACATGACATAACCCTGTATATTGTGTATAAATTTCATGCTTTTTGAAAAGAAAAGCTTCTGAGAACAACAATTGAGTATACTTTCTGAACGCCTCTCGTAGTACAGGCTTTGGTCTCTAGTCTTTGGTCTCTAGTCTTTGGTCTTTAATCATTTTTAGTTCTTTCAGGTAATTTTCTTAATTATGTATGTATATGTAGTCCCTTCCTTGAGCTTTTTGGTTATATATCGGTGGACTGATCTTTTAATTATTATTATATATGGCATTGTTTGTCATTACCCTTGAAATATTTACACTGTTTATTCTGATTGTGGTTTTTTCTTTCTTTCTTTTTTCCCCCCATTTCATATTCTTTTTTTAAAATAATTGTCAACAATTATTGTGTTTAAAAAAAAATAGAAAAAAGGGACCAATTTTATAACAAGCCATGTACATAAATGTATACACACATATATATTTATCAACGATGCTCACATATATATTTATCAACACCTGCTCACATATTGCATACTTATGCACAAATACACACACATGCATGCAAGAGAGAGAGAGAGAGAGAGAGAAGGAATGAACATCGCATCACTGATCATTGTTCTGTTAACAGGTGAAAATCACAAAACTCCAGTGCTAACAGTTCATAGCTGTGGCAAGTTTGTTACACTCTGTGGTATGCTTTTTGGATATGGTGAGTTTTCAGATCTAATCAAGAGATCAGATGAACTGCGTTGGATGGGAAGACTACGATATCCATGTGAGTTTGACTGTGTTCTTATTTAATTGCTGTACATTTTTTTAAGCACTGAAATCTAGTGTATATCTTTCTGTATATGCTTATGTTGAAAAATGTTCCTGATGAGAAGGTTAAAGCTAATAATACATTGCGACTGAGTGTGAAACAATCACTAGTTAAAAACACCACTTCAGGCAGCACAGAAGAAATACTTTTTTTTGTTTTGTATGAATCCTTTATATATTTCTAAAGCAGAATATAATGATCCTTGAGAAACAGTGATTCTTGCTTATGATACATACATAGGATTCCACTCAGGCATGGAGACTAGTGCTGCTGCAGTTGCTCTTGCAAATATGTACAACAAGGTACCACTTGACTCTTCTAGGTCAGCTTCTTGATCTCGGTCCACTCCTCATTAAATGATCTCCTCAGTTCTTTTCAGTCGGACGGTGGTGTTTAATTGTGGTAGCTCAGCATCTGAACCAATAACCTTACACCTGGTCTGCCACAAAAGTTCACCTTTATCCCAAATAGTTTTAAATATTTTCACCATGAGAATCACAGGCAATGAGTGAAACCTCATTGTTTTACAGCTGGGTCTGGTCCTTTCTGTAATTGAGTATACTCTGATAATTCTGACTCAGGTATAAAGAGAGACTAGATTGGATACAGAATGAGGCCATGCACATCATACTTGGAGACACAAAGAATCCGGCATGCAGGCTAAGGCGTTACCTCCGTGATTCTCCAACCATGCTGATATTTTTCAGTCTGTATAAAACTGGACGAAGACTGCAGACAAAAAAAAATCCTTCGGTCCTTGGTTCTTGAGAATTTTACTGATGGAGGTGCAGATTTGACCTATCTGGCAGAATGCACTCATGCCGGGAAAGACTATTTTGAGCATTGTGGATGAGTTTTTCCAAGATTGGGCCTTTCTTCTGCAGGCATTAACAGTTTGATGACTTTTGTCTAGATATTTTGACAGACTAGTTTTTGCTAGAAAAAGCACAGTTTTTGTGTTATCCTGTGGCATGTTTTGTCCTCTCCTTTTTGTTGTTGTTTATACATTACCAATAATGCTGCATCATGTCTCAGTATGAAGCAAGAAATTGGGAGCTCATTTATACCCACACATGAAAAATTCAGCTATATTTGAAGTTAGTTTTTTACACAATATTATCAGATATTGGGAGTACACTTCCTTGGTTTAAATAAAAAATTCTCAAAATTAACACAAATTATTTCTCTCTGTAGAAATATTCTTTTATGGTATACCGTGTTAATTGCACAGAAAAAAATAATTGTTTCTTAATAGTTAGCTGACAAATGTTGCTTTTTCTTTTCTGTTAAAACTGTTGTTCTGATTTCAGATGCTATACTCTGGGCAGCATTCAAGAAACCTAGAAAGTTTAATTGTATTTTAGAATATAAAGTGGCAGATAATGGTGAAATTCAAGAAATAGATCACAGGTAACTAATTTTGATAGCTGCTTTAGTAACTTTTGATTGTTCCATGTAAATAGTATCAGGAGTTCATTGTCGTAACAGTATAGTCAAAGATCATCAAAGTCCAGATGATTTAATCAAACTGTGCCTGTTTACCGCATAGATGCAATATTTGCTCCATTTAGCCATTTCGTTGGCCATTTGTTGTCCAAGGTAATCTTCTGGTTAAATGCTTTAGACATTGCAAAGCCTCATTGTTGTGTCATAATCTTTGGTGCACAGTAGGTCTTTCTTGAGCAACCACCTGCATTCTGGTCAGCCCTTTAGGGAAGGCAGGGCCGAACATGGGCAATTTTTGGATCATCCAAAGAGGCTTCCATAAATTAAGGGCCAATTTGACAAAAATTATAGCTCGATATGGAGTAAGTGAACACCTCATTGAAGTTTGCAAAAGCTTATTTAGTGTTTGAAGACGCGTAGTTAGAATAATTCAGGGAACATCTAAACCATTCAAAGTAACATCTGGAATAAGACAGGGATGTGTCTTATCACAACTCCTGTTTATCACCTACATTGACAGTATGGCAAGGATGCCAGGCCCCAGAACAAAAATAATTGTACCATCAACAAATTACTCTGTGCTGATGATCAGGCCTTGATTGCAGATATAGCCATGAGTTTGCAACAGCTTCTCACATCAATGAATAAAGAATGTAAATCAAATAATATGAGAATCAACATAAAAAAGACAGAAATAATGTCAATAAAAAGAAAGAAGCAGGATTTATACATAGCATTAGACCATGTATATATTAAACAGTCATCTGAGTTTAAATATCTTGGAACAACATGCTCTGAAGATGGTAAATTTGATTTAAAAAATTGACATCCCATGCAGTAAAGCTGGCCAAGTATTGGGACAGCTATGTCTCCCCCCCTCCCCTTTACAGCATAAGGCCATCCAAATCAGCACAAAGAGACATCTCATACAAAGCATAATCATTCACACCCTATGCTACCAGTGCCAGACATGGTCACTCACAACAAAACATAAAAGAAAATTAGTAACCATGAAAAAGACTGTATGAGTGACCAGAAAAGATCAACTCAGGACCAAGGTCATACCAGATAAAGTTAGCACAGAACCAATTACATAGAAAGACAGCAAATCAAATGGTTTGCCCACTTGGAGAGAATGCATTCTGATGCAATACCATACAAGGCAATACCAAAAGAGGAGAGTGACGTAGAGCAAGAGGTAAACCAAGAACCAAATGGAAAGATAACATCAAAGAAACTCTACAGCACCATGATATTTCTATGGTCCAAACAGCCAGAAGATGCTTAAAGTGATAAAAGAGGATGCAAAGAAGAAGAAGATTCTATCATTTCAACCACATAGGTTAACATCACAAAGAATGGGAATTGGGGAGTGAATTTACATGGGTGTGAAACTCATAACATTTAAGTTAGGCAGTTTTAAGATAATTGGGATTGGACATATCTCACTCAGTATAACTGGGTGCTGGTATAGATATCATAATACAATCATAGATGAGAACTGGTTTCCCATCTGTCATATTATTAACATAA